GAACTAATGACTATCGGCCCGTGCAGGACCTCAGAGAAGTCAACAAATGAGTCCAGGACATTCACCCTACCGTCCCCAACCCTTACAATTTGCTGAGTGCTCTTCCACCCTCTCATGTCTGGTATACAGTCTTGGATCTGAAGGATGCTTTCTTCTGTTTGCGGTTGCACCCAGCCAGCCAAAGACTCTTTTGCCTTCGAGTGGAGGGACCCGGATTCTGGGACCTCGGGGCAACTAACCTGGACCCGGCTCCCTCAAGGGTTTAAGAACTCCCCCACCATCTTCGACAAAGCCCTTCATCAGGACCTAACCACTTTCCGGGCTGAGCACCCGCAGGTCACTCTTCTCCAGTACGTAGATGACCTCCTCTTGGCAGGAGCGACGGAAGAAGACTGCAAAGCAGGTACGCAAGACCTACTCATAGAACTTTCCCGCTTGGGGTATCGGGCTTCTGTCGATTGTGGATCCCTGGGTTCGCAGCGTTAGCAGAACCTCTGTACCCGCTAACAAAACAGGGGAGCTCTTTCCAGTAGGGGGAGCCCAAAGCAGCGTGCATTGATACATTAAGGAGAGCGCTTCTCTCTGCACCCGGCCTTGGCCTTGCCAGATGTTTCCAAAACCTCACCTCTTTTGTGAATGAAAAGAAAGGCGGGTTTGCTTGAGGGTGTACCAAGCTCTAGGACCTGAAAGACGGTGGCTTACTTTATCTTAAAATGGCTGGACCAGTGGCCAAAAGGATGGCCAGCCTGCTTAAAGGCTATAGCAGGCTACCGCCTGCTTGTAAAAGATGCAGACAAAACTTACTATGGGCAAAAAGCTAACAAGTTATAGCCCCCCATGTGCTGGAAAGCATGATCCGGCACCCCCCGACCGGTGGATGTCAACGCCCGGATGACCCACTCAGCCTTGTGCTGGAAGCGAACGGGTTTCTTTTGGAGCCCGGTGGCTCTCCAAACCGGCACACTGTTTGCCGGAGAGCATCGGAAAACAGAGAAAGTCCTTCATTCCTGTCATGACATTCTGGCAGAGAGAACAGGCCACGTAAATGGCCTCCGGATGAGCCGCTACCAACCCACACTGCACTGTTTACGACGGGGAGCAGCATACATCCATGAAGGTAAGGTGCAGGCGGCGGTTGGTCAGCAAAGATCAGGTCATATGGCTGGTAGCCTACCTGAGGGAACCTCTGCCAAAAGGCGGAGTTAGTTGCCCCTGACACGAGCCCTCGAGCTGCAGAGGGAAAAGGGTCAACATTTACACAGACAGCCGTTTATGGCTTTATGCAACAGCCCACATCTGGAAGCCATATACCGCCAGAGAGGGTTCTCACCTTCCGCGGGAAAAAGACAATAAAAACAAGCAGGAGATTTTACTTCTCTTGAGGCTATTCACGCCCCCCAGGAGGTGGCCATTTTTCATTTGCCTGGGCACCAGAAGGAACTTCCGAGGTGGCCAGGTGAATAAAAAAGCTTGACTTTGAAGCAAACAAAGTGGCTCTAAGGTCAGAAACTCTGATTCTTGCCGCCAGTCCCCGGTGGCCTCACCGACATTCCCCACTACTCCTCGAGATGAGGAGAGCCTAAAAGAACAAACCTGCAGTTCTCTAAAAGATCAGCAGGGGATGCTGGAAGACTGAGAGGGAAAAATTTGGTCCTGCCCAAAGAAGACCGCTCAGCAACTTAAGCAATTGCAATCATCTTACTCATTTAGAGCAAAGCATCTACGCTCCAACTGCCAGGTCTACAAAAACCACATTCGGGGACTCAGTCGTTAAACTGAGGAAGTAGTTCACCAATGTAAAAGCTTGTCAACTAGTAAACGCATCACCATCCAGGTAGCCCCAGCGGCGCCTAACAGGAGGCGTCTTTGAGACAGTCCTGGGGACAAATTGGGAAGATAGATTTCACAGATAGTAAATCCAGACCGGTATGGATTCTAAATATCTCTGTTTTTTATAGACTCCTTTTCTAGGATGGGTAATGAGGTTCCCCACAGAAGAAGGAAACAGCAAACAGGTGCATACGAGTCCTGGAAGATCATCTTCCCAGGTTCGTAAATCCTATAGGTAATTTGTGATCTGATAACGGCCAGTTTTCGATTGCACGGTAAGTCAGGGAATGGCCAAGGAGTCTTGGGCGGATTGGAAATACTTGTGGTATATAGGGCCCAAAGCTCAGGTCAGGTAGAAAAAATGAAAGAACTCTAAAGAGGCTATGACTAATTATCTTAGAGACTGGCATCAACAGACTGGACATGTGCTCTTCCCTTCGCCCTTTTCGCGTTTGGACACTCCCGGCCCCTGAGGTGACCTCGGTTTGAGGTTTCTTTCGGGCTCCAACCCTCCTGGCGGGTCCGTAGGTCTATGCCAAGCTGATGTTACATGCTTCCATTCTTCCCTACTTGCTAGGTGAAAGCCCTTGATCGTTCACAGGAAGTCTGGGCCCTTTGGCCGCCCTCTACAAGCCCGGAGAAGTACGAGTGCCACACCCGTTCCAGGTCGGTGATCTCGTTTACGTCCGGCGACACCGAGCTGCCAATCTCGAGCCAAGGTGGAAAGGACCACACCTGGTGCTGCTAACGACCCCAACAGCTATCAAGGTAGACGGCATCGCACCCTGGATACACGCCTCTCATGCCAAACGGGCAACTTGCCTAAATGACAATAATGATGACTGGGTTGTGGAAAAGACTGACAACCCCCTCAAGCTTCGCATTCGCCATCGCCTGCCTCATACCGAACCTGTTGCTGATAAGTAGCACCCCACATGTACCTAAGAAGCTGACTTGAAAGGTAACCTCCCCTGGCTTGCGAAAAACGCTATGGCAAACCAACACTACCATAGCCCCCCCACCCCCACCCCCGGCACCTGGTGGCCCGTTTTGACCCCCGACATTTGTGTATTTGTGGGAGCAGGGTGGAATGGGTTCTGCATAAAGGAACGCTCTAAGCGTTCCCCGGCAAGAGTGCACGGACGCCCAGTAGCTGAGCGGCACTTAAAACGGGTCCCTTTTTACGTCTGCCCCAAAGACAGGTACGGTCATGAGCCAACCCAATGTGACCGGTACGAAACAGGGTTTAAGACAGAGTTTTACTGTGCCTATTGGGGTTGTGAAACGACGGGAACTGGCTACTGGATACGCAACCCCCCCTCTTGGGACCTCACTTGCACCTAGAAGTTCAAGACTAGCCTTGGCAATAGTGAGATCCTGTCTCTACAAAAATTTTTAAAACATAGCTGGGCGGGGGGCACATGCCTGTAGTCCCAGCTACTCGGGAGGCTGAGGCAGGAGGTTAGCTTGAGCCCAGGAGTTTGAGGTTGCTGTGAACTAGGTTGATGCCATGGAACTCTAGCCTGGGCAACAGAATGAGACCCTGTCTAAAAAAAATGTATGTGAGTGTGTGTGTGTGTGTGTGTGTGTGTGTGTGTGTGTGAGTGTGCCCTATAGGTCATTCTAACCAATATTCAAGGTTGGAAATCAATAGCTTAGACACTGAAGATTAGAATTCTAGAAGTCAGCTAGGAAGCCATTCTTTGGGCCTCTCTCTTTTTTTTTATTTTGGCATATTATGGGGGTACAGATTTTAAGGTTTCAATAAAAATATGGAACGCTTCACGAATTTGCGTGTCATCCTTGCGCAGGGGCCATGCTAATCTTCTCTGTATCGTTCCAATTTCAGTATATGTGCTGCCGAAGCGAGCACTGGGCCTCTCTTTTTAAAAGAACATCCAATTCCAGGCACAGATAAATATATCTGGACTTTGTCATGGACTCACAGCAAGGGAATGAGAAAGCCCAAATCCCCTAATTGAGAAAGTGATTGGTGAGTAGACTTCTGTCCATTAACAAGAGAAGGCAAGAGCCTAAATGAATTCTCCAGCCCTCCTGGCCTGTTTTCTCTCCAGACCTTAGAGAAACCTTTGCTGCAGGGAAAGCACAAACAATGTGATTTTACTGTCATAAGCCATACATGAGCGCTTAATTGCCCTGGCACGAGGGATGATGAACCATGTGATATAAACATATGACCACACATGCAAAGTTGCACACTTCCGGGTACACTGAATGAACAACGCACAGAATCCAGGCTAGAGGTACCTGACCCTTCCCATTAAATAGCCTTGTCCTCCCCACTTGGTCTTTTGTCCTTAATCTCTTCTGTAGTAAGAGACTAAAGATCCTGGCATAAATTTCATGAAATAGGAAAGTGTACACATCTCCTGCTACTGGGCTGTTGAAGCAATAAGACACTGTGCTCAACTTCCTTAGAGTCATTATCCTGGGTTTGCATAAAGCAATTTCATCAATCCCTGTCTTAGAGAGCCTGTTTGATAACATACAAAAGCAAAACCAGGCCGGGCGCTGTGGCTCACGCCTGTAATCCTAGCTCTTGGGAGGCCGAGGCGGGCGGATTGCTCAAGGTCAGGAGTTCAAAACCAGCCTGAGCAAGAGCGAGACCCCGTCTCTACTATAAATAGAAAGAAATTAATTGGCCAACTGATATATATATGT